AGAGCAACTGGCAGCACTGAGGCAAACACATCTGGGCTGCCCAATTATGGCAAGATATTGCTGCCCGGCTAGAGAAGCTGGTGGTAAAAGTACCTCATGTAGATGCCCACATACCCAAGTTGTCTCATAGACACCTGGGCCAAAGAGCATGGCATTGAGTGTGTGTATCACATCCCCTGTCATGCGCCAGCCTCTGGGAAAATTGAATGTGACAATGGACTTCCAAAAACTACACTGAGAGCAGTGGGTGGTGGGACCTTCAAACATTGTGATGCACATTTAGCAAAGGCCACCTGGTTAGTTAACACTAGGGCGTCTACCATTTGAGCTGACTCTGCCCAATCAAAACTTTTACATACTGTAGAAGAAGATAAAGTCCCTGTAGTGCACATGAAGAATATGTTGGGGAAGACAGTCTGGGTTATCCCTGCTTCAGGCAAAGGCAAACCCATCTGCAGGATTGTTTTTGCTCAAGAACCTGGGTGCACTTGGTGGGTGATGAGAAAGGATGGGGAAGTCCGACGGGTACCTCAAGGGGATTGGCTTTCGGGTGAGAATAAAAAATGATTTGAATTGTATGATGTTAATTGCTATATAATATTGTATGTCATCACTACTATGGTTGCTATATGCCATACCAGTATCAATGACATTAGAGTAAGAATCACCCAAATTAATAAAGGATGAACTTTGATAAAACTGAGCAAAATGCAGCAATGATGGAACAGGAACTGACTTCAGCAACTTCCTTGAAAATCATCTTCAACCTCTGGACGATGGGCATGGACCACACCAGATACACCAGCCGTGAGCTCTGGATGCAGCATGCAGTAACCCAGCAGCATGCACCATTGCTCCTACCCTGAGAGACTGTCATGGCAGATGAAGCCCAAAGTCATGGACTAAGTGAACTCAACAGGCATTTTAGAGGGATGGCCCACAGACTAAGGGAACGATATCTGCGTGTATATATGCATACCTACCTACATATATATATCTCTCAAAGACAGGAAGAGTGGTGGTCATTAATCAGCAAGTGTAGGGTCTGGGCATGACGTAGATGGTATAGAATAAGGGGTGAATAATGTCCTGGTTTTCAGCTGGGATATAGTTAATTTTCACAAGAAGCTGGGAGTGGACACACTAGCCAGAGAGGTATCCCATACCATATGACATCATGCTCAGTCTACAGAGGAGGCTGGCCAGGGAGGAGGAGTTACTGCTGGGGGATGGGCTGGGCATCAGGCTCTGGGGGTGAGCAAATTGCATGGTGTATCACCTGCTTTGTATATTCCGCTGTTGTTGTTGTTGTTTTCCTTTTCCTTTGCTGTCCCCAAAACCCCACAAGTTTTACCTTTTTCTTCTGATTCTCCTCCCCATCCCACTGTGGGGTGGAGTGGCTGTGTGGTGCTCAGCTGTCGGCTGGGGCTTAGCCACGACACTTGGCTATATGGCCCTCCTTTCTGGCCTTATGCAGAGGTAGCTTTCGTCTGAAATAACTCTGTTCATTCATCATCTCTTAAATCAGTTCTTAAGCTGTAGTCCTGATTTTTAAAACTGTATCTAAAATTGTATCTCTTAGGTAAGAACTTAGTATTTTTTTAAAGGCCTGATTCCAGGAAATGTGATTTATATATCTAATATATGTTTAAAATTAGTTCAAAAAGAATATGTCCTCTGAAACCGTTGAGCTGCAATTCTAACAGCTTAACAAGGAATTAATATTAGTAATTTACAGATAAAATCATAGAATATGTATGATGGATTTTTATGCATTTTAAAATACTTTCTTCATAGCTATCATTCTACCAATTTGACAAAATATTTGGAAGTGTTCTATTCTTCAGCACACTTTGAAAAAAAATCAGATCAGTCTATGTAACTTTTTTTACTTTTTTTTTTCTTTTTTTTCTCTCCACTACCACTTCAGGTCAGTATGATGGAAAAGGGAAACCACTGCCAGAGTACCATGCAAAAATCTCTGGATTTGATGAACGGGTATGTTTACAAGTTTGAGTCAAAATCCTGTGTGGTATAAATTTGTGTCCATATTCCATTTGAAGAATTTGATGATGGCAAGATTGTTGCTTGTGTACACATCTTGCAGCACATAAAGGTCTGCAAATAGGCATTTGGTATTCTAGTAATAATTATGCCATGTAGGAATGACAGATATGCTTAATTTCAGTGATGATTCTATAAAGTCAAGTCTTCTGTCACAAATATTTTCCTTTTTCCCGTCTTTTTCCAAGATACGTGTAATGGAATCCTTGAGGAAGCCAAAACGTATAACAATCCGAGGCAGTGATGAACAGGAGTATCCTTTTCTTGTCAAAGGTGGTGAAGACCTGCGACAAGACCAACGTATTGAGCAGCTGTTTGATGTAATGAACATTATCCTTTCGCAAGATGCTACATGTAGCCAAAGGAATATGCAGTTAAAAACTTACCAGGTCATCCCCATGACAACAAGGTAGGCATTTATCTTAAAGGGACAGAAATCCTTATGTTACCATCTATTACTGTTGGGACGTTGGAAGGTGAGATTTCTGTGTGCCACATTCTGGTTCAGAGTGTTTTGTGTCTTGGCTTTTTTTTTTTCTTTGCCTTTTAAGCAACATTGAAATTGCTTTGTCTGAAAACTGGTTTTCAGAGGATATTTAAATTGGTAGCTTTCACCCTCCTTTTAGTAGGCACTAGAATGTGATGCTTCCTATTTGTGGTGTTCCTCTAAAGTTCACCTCTGAGCTACTTGTTCACATCTCTGACTTCTTTTGTTCCAGACTGGGACTCATCAAGTGGCTGGAAAATACTTGTACTTTAAAAGAATTCCTTAAGAATAGCATGTCTGAAAAGGAAGACATCAACTATAACAGGTGATGCTTAGTTTAGCTGTCTGCTCTAATAGGGACCACTACTAATGGGTTTTTTGATACTGACAATCTTACTGCAGCATTTTCTTTTTCTTAAAAGAATGAAATAAAAGCACCTATAAGCAAGGAGGCAGTTGGTACTTCCTGACCCAAATTAGTAATTGGCAACTGTTTGTTTAACGAGTACCATTGTACCTGGAATATCCTCCACCCAGTTTGTTTAAACAAGAGGCTTATAATCATGGGTGACGTCATTAACATCACCATTTCCTTATCAGCAGATTGATTTTACAAGCTAAGGATTTTGATCTCCTGATTTGATCAGGCAGGAAATAGACCTAGGTCAGCGGAGGGGAGGGGAGCAGAGACAGAGCTATTCAGAACCTGGGTTCAGCGGTGAGTCAGTGACGGGGTGGGGGGCATGTGTGGAATTAGCAGTCGATGCACAGAAGACTGTAACTGTAAAAGAGCCCTCTCTGACTTTATACAGATGCTGGGTTTCAATAAACTAGCTTGCTTTCTCTTGCTTGTAATTGGAGGATGAATAGTTGTAAAATATATTTAATTCTAGCATTTCAGCGTGTTTCTGTCCTGGAATTTAGAAACGTGGTTTTATTTACCAACATTGTTCTTAGTACATAATCTCTGTTTGGGTTTGTCAAAGTGTTGTCATCACCATTTATTTTTACTAGTCCTCTTGTTTATGGGACAAGTTGGCGGAACCTCCAGCATAGAGGTTGGATTCCAAAGAGTCTTTATTTCTGCAGTTACCTGATCTGTTTAGGAACTGCTGCAGTTCCTGCATTACTGCTGTCTGGTTCACTTTTGTGAACACCAGCGGTACAATGTTGGTCTCAGTTCATTGACTGGGAAAGTGGATGAGGCATCGCATGGAACCACCTCCCGAGGGGAGAAAATTTCTAATGCACTAAATGTAGAAGATCAATGTCTTTCTAAAAGTTAAAGATTTATCCCAAAAAATAGCTTTATTTTATTGTTGTATATAGACTTTAAATATTTTCCTATATGTTCTTCAATCAAGTCAGTTAAGACACTTCTTATTGAGCTATGGTTGAATGACAGCACTAGCAAAGGAAAACTCTGATGAAATCCTTGCTGGCAGTATTTTGCTTGGGCTGGGGGGAGTAACTTTCTGAAGTTGTGAAATCCTTTTCTTTATCCCAAAGTGATGGGCTGTACAGTTTATAAATGATAAATACTTCTTAAATGGAAAGGATCTCTAGATCTCAGAACATGCTTTAGAGGAAGAGAGAAGGCGAGCGCTTTGCGAAGTTGCTGCCTCTCTGGAATAGAAGTTTAATGTCTAGTGTATTTAGTTAAGATGGGAGGAAAATAGCAAATTATTCTATAAGCAGTGCAACTAACGAAGACTAGCTTCTTCTGGATTGATACCTTAAGTCCAAGCCTCCATTCCTCCTCTCTTGTACACACTGAGGAGATAATGAACTGCCTTCTGCATTCCCTACCTGTTGGGATGGACAAATGGCAGCATGTAGTGGTAGGATACATAATGCCTCTCGAAAGGATACGAGACTGTGTTAAAAATATCTTTCCCTCCCTGGAGAAATTATTTTGGGTCTTTCTTCTCAAGGCAGCATGTAATTTTCACAGTACCTATTGACAAATTAACACCTTTGAGATGTCTAATCTTCTGTCAAATATGGGTGAAGTGCATTCAAAGCTGGGGGGGAAGGAGATGGATGGATCAGCATATGCACTGACTGCATAAACTTATTTCCATAGCAAGGCTAAAATTAATGTAGGCTGTAGCTTCCTGACTCCTCCTGTGCATAAAAATCTCATGGGTCATAGCAGCACACAGCCTGCAGATATTTGAGTACAGAGTGGTAAGATAATGTAGGGAA